AATTTGATTGTTTTAGAAAGTAAAAATACGAGAAAAAATGCATTGTGATTTTATGGAAAAACATTAAAAAACAATCAAAGGTCGCGCATGGTCCTTGAAACACGTGTACTTATTTATCAAAAAAAAAAATTATTTTCATATATATATAAAAAAAAAATAAATGTTTAATGCTACTTTCACTTCAGTAGTCTATTGACGTAATCAGATTCGGGCCCAGGGCTACGATTTTGCATAAATAATTTTTTCCTCGTGTGGGCTTCCCCCTAATAGTTCGACAAATATGTTTTTTTCTCTTCACGAGGATATTCAAAGATATTATATATGTATAGTTAGTATACGTGTACAATGCGTAACAACTTTAGCCGGTTTCTTTAGCACGCGGTACATATAACAACTGCACTGTTTCAACATTTATTTACGGATCGATTTCTCTTCTGATTTTCCTCAATTAACTCGCATTTTTTTTTCCGTTATTTTCTTCTGGGAGAAAATCAAGAAACTCATTTTTCTTGTTTACTGGACCATTAGCTATGGGCGGCAGTGTATAGGACCTTCGCGCCCGCAGTCCGCATTGCAGAAGTATATTCACGGAACGTCTATAGGCGTCGACATATAATTTTAGAAAAAATAAAAACGAAGTAAAAACTTTTGAAATAATATGCGTGTGTTTACTATGTATATATTTGAATGTATAATTTAAAAGAAAAACAATAAGACGTGTACACGCACTCGTGGAACGTTATTTCAATAAATATATTATGCGATGTGTAATTATACTGTACACGCAATAATTATCGTGTATAGATTAATACGTGTTCTGTCCGTCGGCCGATACGGCGAGTGATCTTTTATTATTTTTTATTTGTACATAAACATCGAGCGTTTGACATATTTTCTGTTACTTTATGTTAATTCGCTCGACAAGCCGCGTGAATACAGAGGTGACGGTAGCTTTATATCCCATGGCGAATGTACGACGATAGATCGATGTACAATGGTCGAGATTCCGAACCATGCAATCGATATAACGTGGACGATAAATCGTACACGGGTAAAAACATGCATATTTACGTATATAATTTATAATCGTATTGTATATTATTTTATTTAATTAATAACCGATTTAACGATGAAAATTAATATTTGCGATGTATGAGAAACATTATACGATGTGTATTCTTGTCGACGACTTATTTTTGAACGGAATTTTATTTTATTTTTCAATATTTTAACGCGTTTATAGAGGTAAAACAAAATAAATGATCAATTACTTCAGAACCAATTCGAACCAGAACTATGTATAAGACAGAGATTCGAGAATATCTAGGGTTTTCTTTTTTATTATATAGTAAAAAAATTTTCGTGTATTCATCAAATCATCAAAATAACTTATAACACAAATAATGATAATTGTTTAAGATGGGCACAATAGAACAATGGTTAATCTAAAAACCTTGATCTTCGGTAAGTACAGGTATACAAATGTTACTGTTGTAAATAAGGATAACTATGCAATTTTTCAGTATCGCTTTTATCAAATACCGTATGACGGTATCAGGGATTGACAAGTGACGAGGTTTGTTTTGTGTTTTAAAATGTTAAGCCTGTTAACACAAGGTAGGGAAAAAAAGTGCAAATTGGGGGAGGGAAGAGTAGAGCGAGTCCGATTTCGACCAAAACCGTACCCTTCCCTTTTCAGCCGATTCATTTTTTAATCAAAACAAAAATGTATAAAATTAATTTAAAATAATAAAATAATGATATACAATATTTGATTAAAATGGAAACTACTATAATATATTAATGACGATTCAGGGTTTTACTTAAGTTGCGAGGTTTTAGGTTCACATACAGAGCATAATCCCATTTGCAACAGTATCAAGGTTTGAATAAAAACTAGGTTAGGCTTAGATTTTGGGGCGAAAGCCCATCCCCCCAAAAAGTGCCACACTGTGGCACTCGAGTTATTGAGTGAATCCGGCAGGCGTAACGAGCGAAGTCCTAAAATTTTTAAAATTGAAATTCCGATTTTTCGAAAAAAAAAATGTAAACAATTTTCATTATGATAAGCGATCAAAACTAGATACAAAATATCGTTCTCTTTTATATTAATATTTTAATAATTATTGACAAAAATTGTACAAAATTATTTTATTATTTTGAATTTATTTGATAAATTTTTGTTTTGGTCGAAAAGTGAATCGGCCGAAAAGGGAAAGGTACGTTTTTGGTCGAAAACGGCCATGCCCGAAGAGTAATATCTACCCTTCCGCAATCCCGTGCATACGATCGAATGATAAAAATTCCGAAAAAGAAATCAAAATGTCGGTCAACAACCGGTAGTTATTTCTAAGACATACTGCGGCCGACACGAAAAATCCGCACAGCACTCTCGATCGATCCCGTTTTGGAATCTGAATCACGGCACGCGGCGGTGGCGGTTGGAAAGAGGGAATAGAGGACGGTCGCACTCGGGGGGGGGGGGGGGGGGGATGATCGACGACTTTCGGATGGTAGACTTACACATAGACTAGGTTATGATATACGCGCGCGGGTAACGGTAATTAATCGAATTAATCGGTGGCGGACAGGTTGTTTCAAAGCCGCGGTGTAACATAATACAAAACAGCTGCTGTGTACGTCGCGCGACGCGCACGGTACACGTACGACGACACGTATAATGGTGTAATGCGTACAGTGTTAGAGAGAGAGAGAGAGAAAAAAAAACGGAAAAAAAGAATAACTTTTCGGGGGTCCGTCATCAATCACGCGGGCAGACAATCGACAACCCGCGGTAGATACGGAGCGCGCTTCCCTGCACGGGTAAAAACCGTGTACACGGGGACGTGCGTTTCACTCTGCTGATAAATCAGATTGTTTCTGTTCGGTCGAGGATATACGCGTACGAAACCGCGGGACGTCCTGAAACGGGCGGCGACGGTAGCCGCGGTGTTACGGGTAGGCACGTCTATTATTCGTAAGTCGGTTAGGCTAGTTGGTTCGGTTACGTGTACGTACATACGGCAACCGTGACGGATTTCATTATGTTCGTACACAATACCGCGTGTGCCCCGGCGGACGACGAAGAGCTAAGACTTAAAAGGTGAGAGACTGACTCCCGCCGAAGCATTGTACACACAATGGGTACACGTCGATCCGGTTGGCCGTACGCTCCTCGATCCGGCGATGGGTATGGGAAACTCTTCAGCCGCCAGTTTTTGCTTCCTAAACATATATGGTATACTCGAAGCATATTTACGGTCATGAAGTGTGGGCACGCTGTGTACGAGCAGAAGTAGCTTAAAGCTCCGTTTTCATTTGCCTTTCGATCGAATTTTAACTCACGATATATTCGCCAACGCTACGCTAAAACGGAACGCAAGAAATCGACGAGTTTATTCTGATTTTGTATTTAATGAATAAAAATCAATTGTAGAGCTGAGACTTTTTTTTACATACGTTTTGTGTTAATAAATTGTAGTTGAATACAAATCGAATAGTAATTGTTCACGTTTTTTCGAAGGAAAAAAAAAACAAAATATGTTTATCGCACGACTTATTATTTTATAGAGTAAAATAAACACAGATAAAATGATTTCTTAACATCTGGTACATGATGATAAAACCGGTTTTCAACTTCTTGTAGAACAGTTAAAAAATGAATTACGTATTGAAGTCTTGTACAACCATAAAAAAAAATCCGAATTTATATTCGCCGAAACGACTCGATTTGTCGTCGTCCTATACAATCGTAGCGAAAGAGCGATGTACGATTTGAAATAGATCGAAGAAACCACGGACTACTACTGCTGCTGTTGCTGCTGCTGCGTCGAACAGTAAAACGAAATAATAATTGGCCATTTACACAATTTTACTACACCTACCGCAGTGTGCGATTGGTCATCGAATTATTATGTGCTGATAACACGATTTCCGGTTGCGGTTTTTCGAGTGTTACGTTATTGTACGCCTAGATGTTTTGTGCTGTTGGTTATTTTTTATGAATTTTCAGACCGATTGGAATCGATGTTTGTCCGTTTTCTAGTAAACCGTGTAACAAACAATTACCGCGACGGGTTTTGAAATCATCATCCCGAATCACACGAATATAATTTGGCGGAAAACGAAACGCTCTGTTCAACTGGTACGCGTTATTTTATGGGTCGAAAGGAACAACTACGTGCTTGGTCATACCAAGCAGGACAACGTTCCGTTTAGTCACACGAGATTCTCGATACCGAACACTATCGCGGTAACGAACGACGTTGAAATACGATGTCGTCAAACTTTTTCAAGTTTACGCGTCTTGCACCAGGGTCATGATGTCGGAGAACATAAAAACGTCGATCGACCAAATAGTGTGTGGTCGTCGTTGAACGGATGGGTTTGTGTCGTCGTACGGCCAACGTTAGTCCAGTCAAAACCAGGGGCGTATTTACACTTACTTCTAGGGGCGGGTGACTCGACTTTTTTCTTTAATTCAGGCTCAAAATTTACAAGTAAAATTTTTTGCTAATATTTATATCAGGTGAGTCCTTAATATTTGTGGTTTTTTTTTTTTAATCTAATGTTATATCTACTTAGAATCGACTTTTGTGTAGTTCTTTTTCAACACCTGTCTGCGTGATGAAAGATGCGCTTGTGTTTTATTTGATTTTTCACTAAGTACGGACCCGACAAAAATCCTAATTCAGTATTCACAGCTACGCGTGATTTGATTTCGTTACGAAATGATCCACATTAATAAAAATTTGAAATGTGTATCTTACATATAATCGATTGCTTAAATACGGATTCGGGGGAGGCGGTCGCCCCTTTACTCCCTCCTTCCACCGTAGAATACGCCCCTGGTCAAAACCGACATGTTTAGCCTACGAAAACCGTTCGAAACGGTAACTTCAATGTTCGTGAACGCGTTTCGAACGTTACCGACTGACACGTTTCGGACGTTGGTCGGTGCGCGCGCGCGTACGGTATAATTGTAATATTAGAGCACTCACGATAGAAGGCCCTGGTTCGGGCCGTCGGCCTGGTACCAGCTGTACTGCGGCATGTAACCGGCGGTCGGATGATGCGAGTGGTGATGTGGATTGCCGGCCAATGCCAGGTTCGGCGGCTTCATGTCCCACGCGACGACGGGCGGCGAACCGGAAACGCCGGACGAAGAGTGGTGTACCGGCGGCACGGGCGACATGTCGCACGACACCGGCGTCGAACTGGGCGTCGGGCTGTTCCCTACGTGCTGGCCCATGCCACCCGGGCCCACGTGGCCTCCGCCTCCGCCGCCGCCGCCGCCGCCGCCGATGTATCCTCCGGTCGGGCTCGGCTGACTGCCGGACGACGAACCGTTACCTGCCGACAAAAATTTGCAATGTCTCATTTACGATTGTTATAATAATAATAATAATAATAATAAAAATGAACTCGATCGAAATGCGGAGTCGCCATCGCGTAATATTATAACGCTGTGCGCCGACAAATCGGTAGACATAAGCGAGTGGAACCGTATCGTTGTAAAACTGATATCGAACAGAAGAAACGTTAACAAAGTGTTGGAATTTTTTCGGGAGTATAGAGAAATATTGCGTGAGTGGTTTTCGACAGACTCGGTCGTTTGTACTCACGAAATCCAGTCGGTTTTATTTATTTTATTTTATTTTTTTTTTTTTATCGAATTAATAACCAAAAAAAAATATATATATTTATACTGTTTTAACGTGAACATGTCGGGAATTGACGCGTTTCTTAAATGTTCGCGTGTGGGCTGAGAATGTAGACGAGTGTAACGTACGAATCGTGTAACCTATATACACGTGTACACGTAGTGGTTATTATAAAACGAAATACTTTGTAATACTCTCGGTCGATTACATTGCACACGCGACTGGAACGTACGAATCCGACAGATCTTTACGGTTTTTTTTATCCGTGATCGTGTAGCTGAGTGGTGTACGCGCGGAAAATGTCCAAGTCTTCTGCGACGGCCATCGCAGTCTGCCGCAATTTATCGCGGAACGACGATTGGCTACGATTGGGTGTTGTACAGCAGGATGACGATCCTAATGCGCAGCGATTGATTTCTCTTTTCAACGGCGGAAGAGAATAAACGTGAACAGTTTATGTAAAAAAAATGGTGTACTTCTTGTAAGTTTAACGATGACAAACTCGTCACCGGAGATAGTCACGATATCGATGTCGATTTCCGAGACGATGATTGTAAGTTACTTCAGCGCACAAACCACTCGTAATACCTAAAAACTACAACTCGTGTCAACACCCCGTAATATGCTGAGTTACGAAGCGAGGGACGAGAGCGGTGAATTTCTGGGACGCTAATTTTTTGTTGGAGTAGTGCATGGTTTTAACATAGGTCTTAAGAACAAGGTTGGTTAGTTTTGATAACGGGAGGGCAATGAACATTGATTAAAATTATGATTGGGCAATCTAACTGTTTGATTTCAAAAACACGCGACTCGTTTTATACGGGTATTAAAACATTTTGAAGTTGATTAAAAAATATCGTTGAAATGTTTGTTTTTACCACGGAGTTATGATGCGCTTTGAGTTTGTTGCCGTTCGATGTAAAATAACAGAAAACAGACGCACAACGCACGCGCAGTTTCCCGCAAAACTGTGGACTAAATACACAATAAACCACAAACGTCGGGTTATTACGTTATTCAATAACAATGATAAAATTCGTCCTACTCGTATTATATCGTAATTTTCTGGTATATTACACGAACATGTACGGCGGCGGCGGCGGCACTCCCGCGCACGAAATAGCAATTTGTTCGGATCGCATTATCGATCTGAAAACTTATTACGTACTGCGGACGCATTCACCGATTTCACGACGTACGGGGACTGCATTGTTCGCGTACACGTGATGTACCGATGTATAACGTTGATACTATTATTGTTATTAAACATTGTACACACGTCGTTTTAAATGTAAACAAACATCGGTCTGAAAACGCGTTCATTGTGTACAATACGCGTTATTGTACGACGGAACTCTGTCATCTTCCGAACGACGGACGGATACGCTGCCCAAAACGTCCCGACGTACAAAATAGAAACCTTGGAAGAATTCGGCGCACGAATGACGTTCATGCGAGTTAAACTATTGTTGCGATTCGATTTCAAACAATTATTTCGTTTAGTAATTTTCGTCGTAAAACGTTTAAAAGCTTTCTGTTGAGATTTTAAAACAAACAACTATCGCCTGCGATTCTCGAAGATTTAGTACACTAGTACTGTTATAGTACTATTGGCCCGGATCGAAAACGAAATTTGTCCGCTTGAGCAGCAGCGAAAGTCTGTATTATCCGATCGTCATATACGAACAACTCGCGCGTACGCGTACAAGAAGACGCGCACTTTACACATTACATGCGTACAGGTAGTACGCAATAATAATAATAATATCTTACGAGACGCGGTCACGAGATATACGTGAAAAACGGCGACGGCGGCGAAAAACGAACGGATACGAGTTTGAAGTGACGGATAAGTATACAGTTGCAGTGTTGCAGGCGTAGACGACGAGCGAATAACTATTATTATCGAAATTCGTACGGTGGACCTGGTCGACCGCGTGGTTTTGAATTCGCCTTAAAAGGTATGTTATTGTACCGAATTGAAATAAACTGTTTATGCGAGAATCGGAACGGAATGCAAATCACGGCAATAAACGCGCAGGCACAGACAGATTCGGTAGGATCGCGATATTTCGTTGTCGTGATCAAGGACTATAAGAATTACGGTGATTTTGTCATCCGTCTTGACTCGTACGATCTGGTCCACAAACACCGTAAACATTACAAAGCGAACGTTTCGGCTCCGTCCGCACGTCAATTACTATTATGTCATTTATGCCGGCGGACACACACGGATCCGGTAACGGTTTAAGAGGGATGTGCATCGGAAGTCTCTTCTGGTCGCCGTCGTTACGTCGAGTTATTACAATGTGTAATACACGTCGTATTTAATGTATTTATCTTTATATCTTATATTGTTCGAGATATATTCGGCTGAAGTGGTGAACGTGCGCGGTGTAGGGGTACTAACTGCACGCGTTCGAAACAAAAATGAATGAAATGACTTAAAAGAATAAAAAAAAAAAAAAAAGTTTTGTCAGAGAATTACACAGGCAGTAGAAACGGTAGACATCCCCACGCACATACTACACACTCGGTCGGCGCGTAGAACGACGTATAGTCAGTGAACCGAAACAGTTGCAATCTCCCACGGTCACTTGACAGACCCATCCTGTTCCACAGCTATTGTTTTCGTATATATATAAACACGTATAGTAGAAACACACACACATACGTATGTCGGGCGGTACACAACAACGTAATTCTTCGCACTAGTGTGTACCCGGCACAACGTATTCATTATACACGCAACATACACACACACACACACACACATAATATACGCATAATATACATCATTTGTATACTCCGCAGTAGTTTTTTTTTTTTTTATTTATTCTTTTTTATTATTATTTTTTATTTTTTACGTGGTATATAAATTTCCGAACGAAATATTCGAAACGATTTACGTATTAACGCGTATCATTATGAATGCAAACATTAAAAAAACAAGCGCATTTCCGTGTACGTGTAAAGTCGGTCGCGGCGTTAAAACCTAGGTATTTCTCTGCACGCCTACCAAAATGATTCTTTTACCATAGTTCGAGTTACCTCGTGGAAGCTAGCCCAAAACAGATGTACACTTTTTCGTACTTCTCCTTCTCGGACTTTAAACGACCACAACCCTCTTGTTATGATAGATAACGTTGTATGATGTAAATCGGTATTTTCAAATATTTTTAGTATTTTTTTTTTTTTTTTTTTTTTTTTTTAAATAAATTGGCCATACTGATATTATTTATACGTACGGAATGCAAAAAAAAAGTAAAGCCCGTGCGCTGCAATAAAAATATAATACAGAATTCGTTGATATCTCCATAGGTCTAGAATCGCGAAACGATCACATGGATCGTAGAATAGGAGTTTGCGGTCGATCAGAGTTGAAATTCGTCCGAGTGCAAGACTGACGGGAGACGGTCACGTATTTGGCCAAATAGGTATATCCGAAGACGTTAGAAGGCGATCGTGAAAACTTAAAGTAAAGATAGGCGATTGAAATAATTTTCGGCGAACAGCATTGGTGTTCCCAACGTGTATCCGAACAGGTTACGTTGAATCGTTTATATACATTTGCATTTCCGTTGTTTCTGCACCAAATCATATTGTATTTGCGCACGTACTCGTCTCATTTGTAGAGCGCATGTACATGTATATATAAATATATTATAATAATGACGTTACAACAATAAAAATAATAATAATAAAAATAATGATAATAATAAAACAATCGTAATAACAGCACACGAACAAAAAGTACACTCACCGCCCAGAAGGCCGCCAGACGGCGGAGGACTGTTCGGTATGCTAGGCGTGTTGGCCCCACCGGGGCCTCCCAACATGTGGCCAGGGCCGCCGCCGTTGTTGCTGCTGTTGTTGGACGGCGTCGACACTTGTTGTTGCGCAGCTTTCATCATTTTTTTATATTTACTCCTCCGGTTTTGAAACCATATTTTTACCTGGAACACGCGTATAATAACAATTAGGTGGTATTTTTTATGTTTATTACAATAATGTATTTTTTTTATACGCATTGTGTGACGCAAATGCACACACACACACACACATATATGTATATATATGTATATTCGTACAGTTTTTAAAAGGCGCTTTTTCTGTTCGTCGACGGAACACCGAGCGAGAACGATGAACTCAAAAAGTTGCGATCACGACTTTGCGCAATACGGGCGCGTAAACGTTTCGCGGTGCTGATAAACGTTGTTTTTGGGGGAAAATAAAACATTTACACGCGCTTGCGCTTGTTTCACGCATTGTGTACGACCGATGCGAACAACGCAACGTTAGGGACAACTGCTGCGTACAGGATTCTAAACGGCGAGAATAATATCGTTGCAGTACTCGTGACATAACCGTAGTTATGTGGTTGGTACACGTCGGTAACCGAGCCGCCGTTCAACGGTCGCGCGAGAGGAACACGCATATCATTTGAATAAATTAAACGCTTACGCCGCAGTGCTGTTCCTCCGGTCGCTAATTATGTTTCGCGTCCGAATCGCGTAACTTCGTGTCCGCACGTGTGAATCTATCAACGTGTATTGTAAACGCCGTCGTCGTCGTCGCCAACGCGAGCGCTCGACCAGTGGATTTCACGATTCCGGTACATCGTAATCGTATCACACGTCGGTCGATTAAGAGCACATTTTGTGCGTTCGTCCACAACGTTTTCGTGCGATATTTGTCACAGTTAAAAACAACCAGCCGACATTAGTGTAGTCTCGTGGCATTTGCTTCCATTAACGTACATTCACCGCACTATGTTCAACGCGTGCGCGTGCATGTAACAACGCGAGAATACATTTTAAGTCATGCAAATTAATTCGTATACGCTTTTTCTATGCCGACAGATGTTTTAATTGGTTTCTCCCGCGCCTATACATAATATAAAACGTATAAGTAGTACACGCCGTACATCGTTTGTGCGCTCACGAGAGATCGTGGTTCGTACTGCATTTTAAATGTATACGAGGTGTTAAAAATAAGAAAAGAAAAACGATACCGATTTTTGTGTAGCCAGCATACGTGTACTGTATAGTGCTGCGCGTACGAGATGCATATGTACACGTGTACACCTAAGTACTTACAAATTATAGTAGACGTGTAAAACGTCGCCGGAAGACATTTAAATAATGTATAATTCAAATAGTAAAACATGCGTTGTAAATTGTACGACCAAAATTATTGACGTTATGTGGGGCGCGAAACCATAGCGGTAGGACATCTCGGATGTAACGAGTTCTGTTACGGTGATGTTTTTATTTTTTGATCTCGTGTAACAGCTCGATCTTTGAACGACACAATATGCCTACTTATGTCGTTTATACTGGTAGGGGGGAACATACATTGCTCCCATCGACCTTTTACATTATTGTTGCAGCTGGTTTCAGTGCTTCTGCACCAACCGTCATACATATTTGTATATATTATTATTTAAATTATTAACCTGTACGACCTTGCCATTAAATTTAATATAACTAATTTTTTTTTTTTTTTTTAATTCATTAATAATTCGAATAGTTAGGAAAAGTCTAATAGCTGTAGCGAGATGAACATTATAAATCGGTCGCGTTAGGATTCCACGTCGTCACAGTTCGTAGTACATCTATAGTCCGACAAACCACGTGTTTTCGATAAATTTCGTTATACGCGACGGGTACGGTAATACCGAGCAGTAAACACACGATGAGGTCATGGAAATGATGGTAAAAATAATAATAAAAATGTTTTACGATGTATTATCATGTCGAGCGGACGACGTCGATCAAGAAACGACAAATGGCGAGCGCGCGCGATGCGTGTCCACATAATTTATATAAAAACAACATTATAATACATACGAGTGCCTGCAAATATTTAACGCGTACATTCTATTGTGTACACCTTATATTACGCCGAGTGATTTCATCATACAATTTATTCTATGGATCGCGCACAGACCTTAGATGTATAGGGATTGACGTTTCCGATTTTAGTGTACATTTATATTATATTTATTCCTATACACACGACTTGCGCGTGTATGGTTCGGACGACATTTAACGCATAAAAAATGTACGCAAACGTTATCGAAACATGCAATTCTACGCATTAAATTTATTGCCACCGAATTCCGAAATAAATGAAATAAAAAACGTTCACGAGTCCACGCGACACAATATTTGTTTTTGGCTTTTTATCGTATTGTTAGAATTTGTAATAATTATGCTGCGATTATATCGTCGCACGCCGCGACCGGTCGACTGACGAGCGCAGAATCGTCCGCGTTTGGCACTCGGTGGACGCGAAATGAACCGGATTTTTCGGACCAGTAGACACGGCGGCGGCCATCGGTTATCACTAGGAACGGCTACGATTATCATGACACGGGAATTATTACCATTTTTAACCCGAATATCTCTTGATCCCCCGCCATGTCCGATTAAGCGATTACTTATTTTCCAAAAAAGGTGTTGTAGGCAGTAGTTCTTAAACTATTACTGTACAAGTGCATAGGGTACTACGCGTTCTTTTAATCGTTTTGTGAACTTTTTCGTTGCACGCGAATACGCAATACACCACGCCTTTCGGCAACACATGCATTGATTTCGGTTTTGTACAGTACAACCGGATCCTTATCAATCGCGAACCGGTAACAATAATAAAAAACCTCCCCGGACGAACACTTGCAGTTGGCACAAGTCATCGACATTTAGACGCGTGCCGCGACGTATTCGACCGGCTATGACGGCGGCGGCGGCGGCAGACGGCAGACAAAGGAACTTTGGTTGACAAATAATGTACGCTTTGGAAATTAATAAATCGGGCGGCGACGGGTTCTTTCGCTTTTCTTTTACCAGCGGCACATTCTACCGCCGCGCGCAAACCGCATTTCTGCAGCCGACCAGTGACGTGCATGCACGTGCATACAGCGGGATAACGATGGCGACCATAATATCGTCGAGTACGTGCAGCCACGTGAATATATATATATATATATACGTTTACGGTTCGGGTCCGCCGTTCACGGCCGCGCGATATCATAAAAGCTCGCCGTCGCGCGTTACCGAAAACGTTCGACGACACCTGAAAAACGTTCCGAACGAGCACGTCGTTCGTCCGTCGACTCGAAACCGCCGCGAGCCGGTTCCGCCGGGTCATCGTTTCCCGTGCGTTTCCGTCCCCGGCCGCCTTACACGAGCGCGCGGTATACACGTTCGACCCGCACGCACATGCACTGCCGCCGTGTACTGCACAGCTCCGCGCGCGCGTATACATATACTATATATAGGTACGTCGTGTACGCGCGTATGTGGCGTGTGTATAAAAATACTGCGATAGAGGAGCGTATAAAGAATAATGTTTTTTTTTCCTTACTTCCCCTCCCCCCCCTCCATTTAATTTTTTATTTTTTCTTCATCTCCGCAGAAACCGAATAACAGCGTCACCGGCATCAGCGGCGATACGAGCCGGTCACCACCACGGTCCGCTCTTTATGTCGGGCCGGCCGCGCAATGCCAAGAATTCTTGGACTCGATGTTTTCTGGGGCCGGCTGAATCGGTCGCCGCCGCCGCCGCCGCCGCAAACATCAGAGACGTGTAACGACGGCGGTTGCTGCTGCGGTGCGGTACGTTTTCGCTGCGTACGACGGACGGAAGGAAGAAACGGGGGGGGGGGGGGGGGGAAAAAAGTAGAAAAAAAAAAAAGAACCGTCGCGCGAATTCTTTTCGTATTATTTCACGTGCTTCCCCTCTTCGTATGTAATGCGCACACGTACGACGGGCTGCGAGAGACGATATCCGAGAGACACTTGTAAAAATAATAGACTGACGGGGACTGGCGTGTGTGTGTCCCAGCTCGGAGGTACTACGTACGTATCACGAGCCGAGCCGAGTTGATGCGATCCAGTCGGAACGCGCGTCGGGTTCTTTATTTTTTATTCGTTTATAATTGTTATTGTTTTTCGCCGTATACGTGTTCGCAATCGCGCCCGTGAACGTTCATACCGCTGAGCCAGTTGTTACCGACGAGTTGGCCTCAACAGTTGCCCTCCGCGTCGTACCACCGTATACCCACGCGTGGCACTCGCAAGCTCGCGCGATACGTCCTTACGGGTCGTGACCGACTGCTGATCCAAGCTCGATGCGAGGCGCACAATATCACTGTTGGAATTAAACGTGCGTTTTTAGACCACGCGGTATCGTGCGGTCGACGCGTTTGTGTTACCGCAGTAATCGCGTGTGACGACAACGTAACGCGATTTTGGTTTACTTTTTTTTTTTTTTTACGTAGGTCGCGACCGCGCCAAAATCACCTAGTTCGCCGAGTGAACCGACTTTAGGGATAGGTTCTGCGCGGCATCTGGCGTTTAAAAATCAACGTCTATCACACCTAAATGTAGGCATGCGCCGTTTACGCACACGTATTACACACGCGAAAATATAATTCAAGTCGATTCGTAATTTCGTGTTGCTCGTGTATTACACGGTACGTACGTACCAAACGAGATAAACGTAATAACGTGCGGCCTTATGATTGAGTGGTATAAAAATGGAAACGATACGGAGAACCGAGTACATGGTACGCGTATGGAATTCACTAGGATTGCGTGTTACGGTTCCCCAAAGCTTATCCAAATTAGTATTTTGATCATTGGATTGTACACGGCGATGTTGTTGTACCTACAGCACGTGATTTTGCTTCGTGATACGTGACGTCGACGTATAGAAAGTGAAAAAAACTTCACATATTATCTGGGCAAAGATTGCAGCATCGCGGTTATTGTGACTCGTTTGAAACGTTTGCCGACCACGATGTCGGTGAAACAGACTTGTAATAGCTGTACTGATGTCGAGGGACTTTGAAAATCCCAACAGCCCAACGGACGGAAGAAAATTTACGATCAGAACAATGAAAATTTAAACTGAAACCTAATTCACTATAAGGTCGTAGGACCATAAAATC